TTTTTCACCGACGAAATGGCATGTCGGATTTCGGAAGGGTGTACTGGTACAACATATCCATCGTCTTTTATTTCATATAACGGAACGTAGACGTGGCTATCGAACAGATTTGAGTAGTATTCGTGAATGATTTTCTCCATTGTCTTTCTGGACGCTGTAAGTGTTCCGTCTGGTCGTCGGAGTACATCCATCTTGGTCTTGTATTGGGCCAAGCTTCGGAGGGTTTAGCGAATGCTTCTCCCAGCCTCTGCAGTTTCGACCATTACTGTTGCTCTTTTCTCTTTAAGATCTTCTTTTATCGCCTGTCTGCACTGTTTTGCACGTTCAGAAGTTAGATCGCGGTTTCCTGCAGCTCGTGATTCCATGCTGCCATATCAGCTCGAGTCTTTCTGGATACAGGCGTCTACTGGTAACTTTCGAACTCTCAGCTTCCATAGCGCAAAGGTGAAGATGATGAATGAGCCGATTGTATTCCTCGTCGATGTTATCTACGACGGCACTTTCCCACCAGCCGACTAATGAATTGAATAACTCCTAGTTTACGGTGGTTCTGGGACTTCGCCTTTTGAATTTAGCGGCATTTTCTCCTTTCAGCGAGAAATAGAATCTTGCACGAGGGAGACGGTGAACTGATACCGTGTAGAACTTTGGGATAACGGCGACTTCGGTTAGGTAAAACCTTCTATTTACTATGATGTGGTCTATTTCGTTATGGTACTCTCTACTGGGGGACTTCCATTTGCATCGTTGAGGGTGGGATTTTTGGAATTGCGAGTTACCATGGATGGTCTTCGTCCTCATGATAAACTCAGATAGCCGCTCACCCTGTTCGTTCCATTCTAATCCATGGGTCGCAATGTGACGTTCTTCAGACGTTCTTCTTGGTCCAGTCTTGGCGTTGAAACCTCGAATGATGACCTTGAAGAATGTATGGTCTTCTCTGTAGAACTTCACCAAGTCCATATTGAACGCTTCGACTTCTTCTTCGTCATAGTTTGATGTCAGCGCGTAAACGACGAAGATTGTCAAATCCGGAATTTATCCACGTCTTTTAAATCATAAACGTCCCATTCGGGTTGTAAACTGTTCGAAAGAACCGATGTTCATGGACAAACTGGTGTTGACAAGAACGCCGGTGCCGCCAACTCCTCTGCTATCGCGTGTTCCGACGAACAGTTCTTTTTCGGTGTCATAGACGGCTTTGAATGGGTGGCATCGTATCGTCTCGGTCAGGCCGATAACGTCGTGCCTTATTCTTTTTTTTCGCATGAGCAAGTCTTCTATCCAGAACGCGGATGCAAGTGTTTGTGCATTGTAGGTAGAGATTGTCACCATAGTTCTTTGTAATCCAGGCAGCTTCCATTGGCTCCGAAATTTTAGCAGCCTCTCCGTATTCGTCCTACCCAACACTGCGAAATTGGGGGCTCTTTCGCAGTCAGGGGAATGAGGTCCGCTTTTTTTTTACCGTGTTTAGCACTTTGATACCCAAGTATAGCTTGCTGGGCTTTGAACGTGGGGCTCGGGTATACTCACGGGTAACTTGCCAGGCTCTCGCACAGTGGACATGGAGCTTATTTGTTGGAGGCGAATCTTAACCGCCTCCCATATACTTCCCAGTCACTTGATTGCAGGCTTTTGGCCCTAATTGACTAGTAGAATACAATCCGCATAAGCAAGAACGCACCCACACACGCATGCGTGAATACGCCTAGCAAATACCCAAAGTATGTCCCAAATCAACGCAGCAGAAAGAGGGTGTCAATCCCTTGGATTCACCTGCGTCTCAGAGAACCAAGGTCGCTTTTGTTTCCCAATTAATCCCCAATCCTCCACCTGGGGACGCGCCACGTAGCCTCGGAACTGACTGGCTCGAGATCCTTCATATGAGGGAGATCTGTGGGAGGTCTGCTATAGGTTTAGAAAATTTTCAGCTCCTTGCCAATCTAAAAGTTGTCGTCAGCTATTGATAAATTAACGTCGAACATCGTATGTTAAAAACTTCGTTTCTTTTTTAATGAGCTCTGCAAGTTCGAAACAGCAAGTTTTTGACGGTAGCGAAGCTCTCGACTTTATTGATACTGTCGAAATTTTTGTCATAAATTTTCCGAATCGTGGCAACATCTCAGGAAACAGTGAGTGAACTAGGTAAATTCCTTCTTTCTTTGAAGAGGCGATTATCGCTTAGAAAATATTGGAACGGCCTTTTTCGAAATTGTGGGTTAAAGATGAAATGAGTGAGGAAATGTTTTTGATGCTCCATTTCCGTGGTGTAGGTTTCAGCATTGTACAGTCCAGTCGAGAGGAAGATTTCTGGAGTTGTGATCTATTATAGATGGTCTTGTTGATCTCTGTTAAATAGGGATTCTTTCATTTCGGTCAATGTCTACTTTTTATCTATAAGCTAATACGATGTTTATATCAAACCTTATCCGTGTGGATAATTTGGCGTGTTCGATTTCTATGGGGCGGCAATGATTTGAGTTGATTGTCCAAGGCCGTTCGTCTATGTGATATGGGTTTCAGTGAGTGGAATCATCTAAACTGCTGCGCCGATGGCATGAAGTTACTTCACTCAGTGCTTGCCTTTCATCCAGGATGGTTGTTGATTGACTGATCTTTGCAACATGTCCTGCCATTAAAAAAAAAGGAATAGGCAGTAAATAAAAAGGTTGGGATTGTGATTATAAATATAGCTTCAGCTTAACTGGGTTCAATGCCGATTTGGGCTCCTCAGATCAATCCCGTTGACGGGTGATTCCTGATGGCAAAAGATCGATAGAACTAGCTGAGAGACAGGCGAAAAGAAGGACCCGCATGGTGTGGTGGTGAACGCGTTACTCACCGGAAACGACAATAGCGAGTTCGTTCCCCACCGCAAGCACCTGCGGTTTGAAGTTTTGCAAATACCTCAGCATTATATAAGTTATATTTCGCAACTTTCCCTGCCATTAGAAAAAGGAATAGGCCGTGAATAGAAAGGTTGAGATTGACTGATTGTCCGTTTTTACGAAGTTATTGTTCTACAGTCAGTCCATCGTGCAGGAGTTGGCATTAGGTTAGCTTGCATATACCGAAGTAGTCCTCCCACTTGTCTCCGATTGTTTTTAACAATGAAATTGTTGATTGCATGTCTATTTAGAATGTCTCGAACTCGTCTTTGTCTTGACTTTATATCGGTGCGAAGACGATGAAGCTAGTTAATGTACGTATTTGCCCACATTTGTTGCGACGTTCATCATGAAAGTACACATTTTCCCCTATTTTTTATTTTGAAAACTTCAGGTTTTAACTTAACCGAAATGTGTGGAGGTAAAGGATCAGGAATGGAATCAGGCTGCATTCCACAAGAATAAACGATATTCTTTTCGAGTGGCTGTGAAAGATAGATGGGTTTAAGCGAGCGAAACAAGTATATTATAGTAGTACAGCTGCCAAAAAACGCGAAAAAAAAAAAACAGTTTTCAACGGCTTATATGAAGAATGGATTTGCCTTGTACTGAGAAATTAAATGGAAGTTCCATTCATCTGTGTTATACGCTGTAGCTTCCTAGTCCTATCTCCTTAGCCAAAGGAAGCGAAGACCATTACACTTTCTGTATAAGTAGCTCTCTTAGTTCTGTCGGTACACATGTAAGGCTTATTTGTTTGATAAAATTGCGAGCGCGTTTAAATGTAATCCCTTGTTTCTTGATTATGGGCCTTTATCAGGATCGACGTGCGGGATATAATCAGGATACACATAGACATTTCTTTGTACATATCCGCGAGTATGATTTCGTGTATATGAAAGGCGTAATTATTCAAGCGTGCAGTAACCAATAGTGTATCCTTTGAAAGGTCGATGAAAATGATTGCTTTGGTCGGCACATAACTCTTATCCGAATCTTGAAACAGTTCACTTAGCTCAGCTGCACAACTAACCCCTTCGAGATCTTTCATGTTTGGGTAATTATCAGAATCTCGGTTGTTATAGGATAGCGGTGAATAACGCCATTGAGTGTGTGATCGCTCCTTTTGTGTTGCTGGTGTGCTTATGTGACCCGTGCAATTCTTTTTGGGTGTTTCGAGCCCGCAGTTTAACACATGTTTTCAGATTGGAAAATCCTTACGTGCTGATGAGGAACCGTCAACAGAATTACCTGCGTACAAACTTAGCGCTGGTTTTGCAATTGGTCTGATATGTCTTGGGCTAGGTGAGGGACTCTTTGTCTGGAAGTTTAATGTTTTAATATCACATGGTCAATGAGCACGTGTGACGCAGTGGTTGGAGGCACCATTGCGGCACACACGTGGAACTGATCCCCTTTCCCATGGTCCACCAAGCCTTCCATCCATCCGGGGTCGGCAAATTGGTACCAAATTTGTCTGGGAGGATAGCAGTACTGCCTCGATACATCGGTAGGCCACCGCGAGTCATTGTAAATGCCAGATTTGCATTCAGTCACCTCCAAACGATGTTTAATTTTTTTATCACGTCGTTTGTTCAGCAAGATTTCTGTCTGTTGAAAATTCATATTCTAAAAAGAAACTCGTAAACAATTTTCGACGCAAGTTGTGTCTTGAAAAAGCCAACTTCTGTTTTTGATAAAAGTCTGCAGAAATGATTTTCTAAGCTTATAACAGTTAAGGAGATGAAATCGCAGAAGCAAGGCCTCCGTTCAAACAACCACTGCCCTCCATTCCTGATCGACTGCGAACATTGATGATAGGTGGACCGAGGGCAAGTTTCTTTAAATTAGAACTTTCTTTCATCTTTATTCGTAAGTAATGTACTCAGTTTTGTATTCCACGATGAATCTCGTACAATTGATTCTAATTTTGTTGCCATTATCGTGAAAAGGGCTCAGAACTATTTAATGAGGTCTGTAAATATGAGTGCACATTTACTTATACATTTGTAAGACCCGACGAGACCCATTTGTCTTGTGTTACAACAGCAGTTTTTAAATTGTTTCGTTCATACCATAATGTGAGCTTAATACAAATTAACTGCTAATATCTAACGATGGTGAAAGAATCATAGGCACGTATTTTATTGGAAAAGCAGCTGTTAGTGTGAGCGATTAACCATTGCTAACCAGTTTTGACAGTATAAACCAACGACGGCTTCGTTGAGGCATATTGTTCCTTTGAGGACGGTACACTCACTTGGACGGTCGTTGCGATGTGAGACGCTACAGCCTCGTTTGCAAACTCGTTATTGTTATCTACCATAGAACGTGCTTTTCTTTGCGCAGTAACGGAAGCTAAGATCCTAATACGCTAACGCTGCTGTTTTATGCAACCAGTGTGATCTGATTAGACTTCGAATAGACTAGTGCAAGTGGCTTTGCTCTCTCGCCTTAGGAGTGTACACAATTTTTATTACTTTCTGGTCTGTCCACCTAGTACAGTCGGCAGGTGCCATGATACTCACAGAAGACGTTGACGTTCAAAATGGAGCGCTTCAGTTCTTCCATAAGATATTGCCGGATTTTACTATACATCACATTAAGAACGACCTGGTAATAGGCGATATTTGGCGCCACAAGATTTGTTAAAAGTGCACATAAATTGAAGACGGTAGCTAATGGGTATCTTTTGGAAAGGATACACAAACCATATTAAATACTAGTAAACGCGTTGTATATCTTCGAGCTGATGTTCGAGTTCGGAGTAGACACAGTTACTGCTGAAGACTGCGCACATGGTTCAGGTGCTTGATGTGCTAGATCATACAGTGATCAGTTTATGAAATATTAGAGGATTTATGGCGATACTATAGACTTACATTTAATATTAAACCAAGGAGTATTTTGTGCGCCATATGGCCTATTCGAAGTTTCGAAGTTCAGCGTGTTTACTACGAAATGAAATCTGAAGTTTAGCAATTGAAATGAGGAAGAGTATGACTAATCACATTAACTTAATTGTTTCCAATGTATATTACCCACTTCGTCAGAATTTGCGCGGATGCGAAGTGGTTGCAGAAATTTACTGCAATTCACAAAATGTCTATCTTCCCGATTCGTGCTTACGAGATCAATCCTGTTGACGGGTAATTGCTGATGGCACTGGTAGATGGAAAACTAGCTGAGGGAAAGGAGGAAGAGACACGCATGGTGTGGTGATGAATGCATCAACCCTGGGAAGGATAAATAGCGTTTTCGTTCCCCACCGCAAAAGCCTGCAGTCCGAAGTTTTTCAAGTATCTTAGGATCGTTTTGATTGTATTTCACATAATAGCTTGCGGTGGAAAATTGTGGTGGGCACTAATTAAAAGGTTAGTGTTGTGATATTTCTCTTCCTTTTCGTAGTTGTCAGCTATCCTAATTTACAGAACAGATGCGTATTTATTCAACCCCAGTTGCTAACGTGTTCAGATGTTCAGGCCACAACTATGACTTCTCAAGAAAACAGATCAAATCATGTTAGGGTTGGTATCTTTATTAAAAATTCTCCACAATGGCTATAATATCAGTGCGTTAATGGCTGAGATATTCCTGAATTTGCGTTTTCTTCAAAGGGAATTTCTGTTAGTTCAGGAGGGCACTAATGTGAACGTGCACATGACAGCTCATCCAGCTACGATTGCCCTAGGATTGATGTACATGCGCACAGGAAATTTGGAAATTGCTAGAGACCTAGAACTGCCGGCCACAATATCTATGCTTGAAGAAATACGTCCTGATGTGGTTAGGAGAGCTTTAAATTATGTATACTATATCGAGTTCTATGTTTAATATTCTCTTCTGAAAATGCGCCACCAACTACCTACTTTCCTAGATCTTTGTGCGTGTGGTAGCTCGAAGTTTAGTGCTTTGGGACATGATAGAACCAACATGTGCTTGGATTGACAAGCAGGTAAGGAGGAATATCATGAATCGTTTGCTATTCCTTCGTTTCTTAAATATGTGTTCCCTAAATTTTTTACTGTGAAATCCATAGAATTTCCTGAGATGGATTGCTTTTGTGTACTTTTTCTTCTCTTCTCTTTGCTACGTTTTTGTGCTCTGCTTTTCTTTACTGATGTTATTTTTAGATTCCAAATATTATTCATGAATATGCACTTGCGGTGTTGAAGTTTCCATCAAATATCGAAGTAAATATTACTGACAAAGAACAGGCTTACTGGGATGAAGTGGTGGATAAGGAGACAGTGGCAGAGGTGTGGTATTTTTCATGTCTTGTTGTAAATGAATCAATTTTTTCTTCTCAAGCAAAGATATTCGTAATGTAAGATTTTCTGACATTTAGGTGTACCTATACGCAATGACAGCAGCGTGTTTCGTAATGGCACTTAAATTTAGTGGAATCATTGGTGATAGGTATGAAGACATTCTTAAGATACTGGTAAGCTTGTGTTTAGGATGTTATGCATTTTCCCATAATAAATAAAGGGTTCGTTGTGGGATAATCTAGTGCAGTATTTTAGTGTACGATTTATACTATGTACTGCGACCTCCTAACGGTTTACCGCCTCATCGTGCCTTTTAGATGTTCCTGGGTATCGGACTGCCGTGTACAGCGTGGTATCTATCCCCCCAGCAGGGTCTCACAAGCGGGGAAGCAGTCCGATATTTACATAAGAAACCCAGCTAAGAGTAAACCAAAACAAAGATCCACAACTAGTCGCATGGTGGCAAATCTTCCTCCTATCAACAAGGGCGGCGACGACGTGGTACAAACTTTGGCTAGGTTGACCTCGGAACTCCAGAGAACCACAACGGCTAAACCAGCGAAACTCCAAAAATTGGAGACTATGCTGGGGTCCGCACAATCAGTGAAGATGGGCTGTCCGAGTATCTAAGCAAGCACTGTTACTTATAACGTGTTTTATTCCCAAACTTATAAATAAGGAGAGTGAATATTTACAGCTGTAAATTAATTGTATGATGGTGGCTCATTTCGATACGTGTTATTTTCCCCTATCGAGGACTTTTTGTGGAAATTTGTCTTTTGTAGAGCATAAAACAGTTTTTTTTGTATTTTTTTCGTTTATAATCTATTTTTGCTTTTGGCCTTTTTCCTACAAATCTAGTTTTTTTTAAGGAAGATGAGAAACTCGAAGAATTTATTGTATAACTTTCTATATATCGCCTCTTGTTAGGCAGTAAATAGAAAGTTTTACGTGTGATTTCGACTGGAACTTCAAGTTAATTGGGTTCAGGGCCGATTCGTGCTCCTCAGATCATTCCCGTTGGCGGCTGATTACTGATAGCACCGTAAAGGTAAAAAGACTGGCTAAGGGAAAGGCAGAACGAGGCCCTTAGGGTTGCATTGGGTTACACCTGAGTACCCGGGTAGAATAATCGTTGGTTCGAAACTGCTTAGGCGTCTGAGTTTTGCAAAGATCTCACCGCTATTATGGTTGAATTTGTTAGTAAAACAATTTTCAAACCGACCATCATATAACCTCGGTTGTAAAATAGAATATATAGAGTAATAAGTAGAGTGGAGTTCGTTAGTGTTTGTTGAAACGAGGTCTTAACTCTTTACTCGTTTTCTTGTTCAGCAATCGCGAGGTTTTTAAACAGCATACATTTACTTCCATAAAAACACAATACAATACAACGCTAGTTGATGTCTGTTCTGTCATGTCATGCGACTATAATCACCTGTTCTAAACTTCCTCATTGGAAGTCACAAAAAAGCGGCTCTGAAGAAGGCGATACTGCCGAAACGTCAGCTAGCATTGTATTGTATTTTTTTTTTATGGAAGTAAATGTATGCTGTTTAAAAACCTCGCGATTGCTGAACAAGAAAACGACACATTCATACTCCAATGCCGAGGTTAAGAGAAAGTCAATCCTGGGAACTTTACTCGTTGTTTTACATTCTTCTATTCCAATCACAAGTGTGCATTTAAAGAAAATACCTCGGCAGACTACAAATTCTCTACCGAATTCAGGAAGATCGGATGCAGTTTTTGATGCACGATTTCAACATCGAAAGTATCGAATGGCCAGCAAGGCACATTATTAGGGCTGCCAATCGGAGCGTTGTGAATCTTTGTGCTGACATGATGCTGTTAAGTATGGCTATAGTGAGTGGTGTTTTATAACAGTGCGTTTACTTTTGTTTTTCTCACTATGTGTTGCGGTCATTTTATAAATGAGAAGTACATTGAATCTGTAAAGTTTCCCAGTGATTTTTTCGTGTAACAACCAAACTATTCGTGTATTAGTGCTATTATATGCCTTATATATTCTGAATTAAGTTGAACGTCGGGCGTGGTAAAGTGAATACTATTCGATTCGCTCGGTATCGTCGGTCGCATGACTGTGAATTGTCGTACTGGTCACATTATCTTTGGAAATATAATGAAGAAATGTCAGTGCACCGATCTCTAGCAATGCTTTTCCTAGGCGACGGAAGGTATCTTTTTCTCATCGTATTTCACTACAAAAATTTGATGTGTTAATGGAGTTTTCGTTTTTGATGCTCGATTTTTTTTTCAATTCCCATTAAATCTTTATTTGTCGGTCAAATATAACTGGATGTGTTGATTAGATTTCGGTTGATTAAATAAGAACAAGGGAATGTACAGCGCAATGCTCGTAGGTGCACAGCAGTACACATGGGAGCGATCCCCACGTCCCAAGCTCACCAAGCCTTCCATGCCTTCGAGGTCGGCAAATTGATACCAGACTTGTCTGAGAAGATAGCAGCACTGACTCGATACATCGATAGGCCACCGCGACTCATTTTAAAGGCCAGTCACCTCCAACGATGCTTAGTGAAACCGAATGCATTGCACATCGCTCAAGAATTGATCAACGCCAACAGCTCTATCTTTTGTTAAATAGGAACAACATTTTTGTTCCCCACGAACTATTTTACCTTACATAGCTTTAATTCTGTTTTTTTAAGATATGGATTTAAAAAGGATAACCTTTCCATAGCTCTGCTGGTAATATCTATGTACCCTATAGTTGCGCATCACGTCGCGGACAATAGGTAACATGGCTTAAAAGATCCAAAAGTTTCTTTATTTGCTGTTCTTCGTTTGAATAACATATACTTTCTAGCTCGTCATACCTTGTCTAACTGTATTCTCACTTTTCAGATTGTATCACCAGCCACTGCGTTTTCTGTGGACTCACGCCGTCGAACCACGCTTGCTTGTGCCAACGTGCCGCAAAAAGAACAAACCAATTCAGTGTGACCTCGAGATACAGTTCAAGGTAGGTCAAACAGTGTTTTTTATGGTTTATTTTTTCATTTTATCGGTGAATTTCGTTAAGCAATGCGCTTGCTGTCCAAAATGAAGTTGTTCCTCTGGTGCATTATGGCGAATTTTATTTGGTCTGTCCTACAATGACGATATTTGCTTTTTATGTTCACTCATACATGTGTTGTTTATAACCCCGTGACTTTTTGTAGTGTAGCATCAAAGAGGTCTATAAACATTCGAAACGTAGGAAGTGAATGGAGGTATAATCAACTATTAGTTCCAGTGACAACCAGTAAATTCTCAATTTGTATCATTATTGCGAAAGAATTGCCTAGTTTTCCGTGCTTCATCAAAAGATATAGAGAGCATCACGTTTTTTTGTTTCTCTCGAAATTCGATATCGACTACGAGAGTAGATAACTAAGGTTCCTGGAACCGGTCTACTCATTGCTGCACTTCCATGGGATAATGGCTAATTCCTCAGATTGGGAGACCTTGTTGGGGATGAAGATCACCCATTGTTCAGCGTAGGTCGACACCTAGGAACTCGTGGCACCACAGACGAGGTTGTAAACTATGGTAAGGACCAATCCAACGGGTTAGTTGCAAGTCTACGGCGCCTCTCAGGTGGATATGAAGCTGTAAACAGACCAAAGGCGCGCCTTCACAGTGGTGCAGTTGAGTTCGAAAAGGACATTCCCTGTTTCTGCTGTGCCGAATTGACATATAAAGCGTACGTGAGTTTTTTGCATATGTTAAGATTGTGTTCTACGGTACGGTGAAATCCTGCAATAAAGTGACTGCGAGATACGCAAAAATTATTACTTGCTGCTTGCAAGAAGTAAGTTCCTGGTTTGCTCTGGTGAGGAGCATCAACCTATCCTTGAGTATAGGTAGCACTCGCACAAGAGCTGAGGGCTCATCCCTGGTTAGTCACCAGAAACAATGAAATAAACGGACGTCAATATTTTAATACCACGAGAACGATCGGCTGTGGATCATCGACTGGGATCAATCCGCTCTAAACAAAACGGCGTTCAAAGATAAAGGGTAGTGCTCTCGGCGTTGATCAATCCCTGAGGGATGCGCCATGCATTCGATTTCATTAAGCATCGTTTAGAGAGAATTGAATGCATATCTGGCCTTTACGATGGCTCGCGGTGGCCTACCTATGTATCGAGCCAGTGCTGCTATCCTCCCAGATAAGTCTGTTACCAATTTTCCGACCCGGAGGGATGGAAGGCTTGGTGGGCTATGGACGTGGGGATCGATTCCACGTCTGTATTGCACGGCGCCTTCGACCACTGTGCCATACACGCTCTGTCTAAGCGTTGGCCAAATAAAAGCGTTTAGACCATCCCTCTCTCTGCTGAATCGTACACAGTATTATTAATGGCCAAGCCTTCTTGAGAGTGGAAGAACCTAAGATTCGGCAGGGTTAGCTAGGGCAGTAAATAGAGGCTCGCATAAGCTTAATAAGAACTGCTAAAAGCCATTCTAAAATTTCTAAATCTAGAACGACTACTGTGAATACCAACATTTGTTGCACATTTGACCAAGTTTTATGATAATGAAGAAGAACAGTTCTTCGGGACATTTGACAGCGAAGGAGTCGGTGGACTTGACGCCGTTGTCAGTGCGATTTTGCCCATGAACATCGTGTTCTTTCTACTGCTGGCAACTGGAATATACGTTTACTGTTGAGAATATACGGTCGGATACCAGCTTTGATAATCTACATATCATCATCAAGTTGTAGTGGATTTCTGACCTTGTAATGGTGACGAGAACAATTCTTGATAACTCGAAATTCCAAAACGACAATATAGAATCGCCCGATCGGTATACAGTCATCAACTTATTATGTGTAAACTTGCAAAACTGCAAAGAAGGGATTAGAGGAAATTTTAAGAGGATGAACGCAGCAGTAGCATAGTGGAGGAGATTGGATTCAATCCGTTCTGTGCAGTGTTGATGTTCCACGAATGTTCCAAGTCAGTATTTTTGTCTACCTGAACAAATCAGGCACCAATATGGCGATAGAGGAGTAATAAAAGGCTCGATGAGAGTGGGAAGCGAAGTTCAAACAACAGTCACTTCTGTATTGCAGAGCATCTCTAACCTTTGGGCACTGCCCTCCGCTTTTTCAATGCGGATTTTTTTTCTGGTTTCTTATTTGTGCTTAACCGAATGAACATCTCCGAAGGCTGCAGCAATGCTTGCCTGGCTCGAGAAATCAACATGAAATAGAGAGCCAGAGACTTATTGATTGGTTCTTTATAGCGCTTGAGAAGTATTTTTTTTTGTTAACTAATCTACTTCAATAGTCTAGTATAGGATCCATCCTTGCAACCGTGTTCGTTTTCCGCACCTATGATGCTTCCACCGATTGACGATTTGGCACTGATAGAACTTAGTGGTGCCGGTGTCGAAAAGGTTCGTTTTGATCTTACAAACGAAAACAGGAAGCGTGATCTAGTCGAGATTCTGACTACAGGTCATGGACGGGTGCCAATCACTGTCACTGAAAGGTAAGCAACTTATGGTTTTATTTGAAAATTCTCAATTCTTGTTGCTGTATGCTAGGATTGGATGAAATTTTCACAAATTCCTTTCATTTGTCATATTTTGACGTGACCGTCTTATATACAGCACAGGATATCTAGAAATGACATAGTGAGATGATTTCGTGCAATTATTTTCTTCCCTTCTTCAAAAATTATTTCGTTTTCAAGTTGCCTTGACGATAATGAGCTAGCGCAGCAAAAAGACTGGACACTTCGCCAAATATTTGACCATCGAGTAGACCGACCAAGTGGCAAAGTAGTGAAATTTGCAAAGGAATATGAGAGAATGAAAATGGTATGGATTTCCTGCTTCTTAATTGAAGTGTTTCAGCTACGTAAAACTTTACAATTTTTAAAAATATAGTTCTGAATCAGGTTTATAGCGTTCCTTTATATTTGTACTCTTAGTACTCAACTAACTCCCTCATTATTAGAATTAATAGTGGACTTCTGAAATTTATAACATCTTTTTGTTATCTCTTACTGTCTATTACTACTCATCTTTGAGACTTTCTTTGTATGGATGGCTCAATAGATCATGCAAATGTCTACTATGATCCGTAATTTCACATCTCTCATTTCTAGAGGATCAAAGAGATTTTTTGGTTCTCGGACAAGAAGTCTTCCCGGTTCTAGTTACTTAATTCTAATTGCCTCACCGATATGGCCTTGCTTGGGAGTATCATTTTCTAGTACGTTGTGTCGTTTCGCTGCTTGACTAATCAGCACAGATTCAAAAGGTTGAAGTTATAACTAAATTTCTCATTGGTAGCACCTTATGTAAAAGGATAACGCCTTCGGCGTTGATCAATCCCTGAGGGATGCGCCATGCATTCGACTTCATTAAGCATCGTTGGAGGTGATTGAATGCATATGCAGATTATACAATGACTAACAGTAGTCTAGAGCCACTACTGCTTTCCTCCCAGACAAGTCTGGTACCAATTTGTCGACCACAGAGGAATGGAAGGCTATGAGCCTGTGGCTCGAGTATCGTTCCCATGTGTACTGCTGGGCGCCTCCGATCACTGCGCTGCATGCGTCCGCACCTCATATAAGTAACGTAAATAGCTTATGTGTTTTTAACACTGATAACAGTCCAGTAATACACCGACGACCAAGCGAAATCTCCGTTAGAGGGCACGTACAACTATGCCTAATTTTCTACGATGCGTGGCTTGCACTGAACTCAGGAGGTACGATCCATTTTGTCGGTCGTAGAAAAGTTACTTGCTGCCAACTAAGCAGCACTAATCTCTATATAGCTCAGTCGGTACAAAAGGTAAGAAATCGTAATCGTGCACATGCATTTCTGTTTATTCAACAGAGACATTTTAACACTTTCCTCGTTAGTGAGCCTTTGTTTTTTGTGGTAAGCAAACTCGTCCTGAATGGAGTTTTCCTGTATATTACAAACTGTAAAGTATAGTTCTTTTGTAATTCTGCACGGCACAACAAACGTGGCGAAACTATGGATTGATTTTTAAAAAAAGTATTACAAGAAACCTTCGCACAGCAAAATAAACAGCGAGAAAAAATAGATTAAAAGTAATACATTCTTTCTGGTCCTACCCTTCTGTGCGTTGAGACCAATGCATGTCATGAGGTGGTAGAAATCGTTATTTCTAGTGAACAAGTCCTATCTGTTTTCTCTGCCTCGTCCCTCTGCTACACTTTGTTCCTAATTTTATCTATTGCTCATTGTATTATGTTAAGTATTTGTCTTTAGTCAAGTCATCCTGGCGGTGCTGGTGACTTGCGATGGCAATCGATTGATACTGTTCTTGCGATTCGACAGTACCTCAGAACCCTTCACATGGTATATTTTATGCAGTCCCAAACCTTACTATAGAAAACTGTTAACATTTTCGACGTTGTTATTACTAGTAAGAGATCCTGCTTACTATAAGTAGGACATATAAGAATGCGCAGATGCGATATTTATCAATTGTTTCTAGGAGATCACTGCCTCTCCACCGTCGCTTGCACCGTTCGTTGTCAATGATGTGAAGTTGGCGTCGTATGTAGCAAAATTTGTTGGCAACACCCCGTTGTCCAATCGACTGGATATCGAAGCGCAGCGTTTGGAACATGCAGCAAAGCTGTAGTTCTATCTTTACGAATACTGTTTCTTCTCCTTTTCTTTTTTGAAGAGTGTGGAAGTGAAATTCCATCCAGTACCTGCTGTATCGATCCAGACACTTGTCATTTTCTGGCACTATGACCAGATCTAATGTTGATTAACTCAGAAACTGCTACTTTGTTGTCATTGTGCATTGTTTTAATATGTCAATATGGTAGGGAGATACACGGTTTTTTCTAGTATACTAGACGTACTTAATAGTAATTACCAAGACCGACTTTCTATTTATCTCGGCAATCACTTAATTTACTACATTCTTCATAATCAAGCACGAGATGTTACTTTATTCTCTGTTACGATACAGGCGACGTTTCGGCGGATTTCAGCCCATTCAAAGCCTCGAATGGTCGTGTTGCATGTAATCTACCTAGCCGTGCAGCTGCATTGCCAAACAGAGCCAAGATTTCAATCGCATTGAAAACAAAATAGCTTCGTTCCACACTTGGGAACTTAATATGCCTTTCCGACGTTACAATATACGTCTTAAATGCTGTGTGAGATCACTCGTAATAACGAGACATTTCTCCTTGCTATTTTTCGGGTTCCTGGAATACCAGATTGCTTCGAGAGTTTTGCTCGCTAGAGTTTTCAATTTTTGTGCCAGGCTGATAACCTCTAAGTCAAAATCTTCCCCATTATGTCTGTGTGTCCTGTGCACGTCTAGTGGAGTATTGGTTTAAGGTTAAGTGTACCGACTAGGTGTTCTTTACGACAAATGAGGTGTTGCTTTGTTCTTTATTGACGGAGAAGCTGTCGTTTTGGTGGATCCTCATAAAAATCAGTAAGTGTGCGAAGGAGCTACTTTGTTTTCAATGCGATTAAAGTCTTGGTTCAGTATTTACTCTGGTTATGGAGGTGTTTAGTTGAGTAGATTGCAGTGAAATCGACCTTTCCAGGCTTTTAAGATGGCGAAATCCGCCGAAACGTCAGCTTTT